TAAGGGTTTTAGCTATAGCTAGATTCAAAGCTGTTCTGGTGTGTCCATGCCAGCTAGCTGTATTTCAGTACTGACAATCTCAAATGTTCAATATTATGAAGCTGTCTACAGCAAGAATGATGTTTCTTTTAAAATTATGAGGTTTGGAGAAAAAAAAAATCATTGTTTAGTTCTATAATTGGCTGTTGTTTATAATTTTGCATACCAGTCACAAAACATTTATGAGGCTCCCAAATCATGTTTTTGAATTTTGCTAGCTACAAATGTATCATATATTTTAGTATGACAACTTAGATTTCCAGGTAATCATATAAGTCTAATAGCTGTGAATTACTCATCAGTGGTGTCCCAGTGAGTGGTAATGTTTTAGAATACAGTTTGACCATGATTTTTAATATTGCTAGCCTAGTCCTGTTGGTGGCTAGAGAAAGTAATAGTGATGTCAGTTTATGTCATATTTAATCTAAACCTCTTGTTGAAAATTTTCAGGCCTCCAGTTAGGTCATTATGAATAACACAAGCTTTGAATACAACTTTGTATGCTAGGTCATCTATGAAAGTACACCTAGGTACCCCTAATCTTAAAAAAAGTTTCACACACTGAGCAGGGACAACTTAAGTTTTAAAAAGTCATTATTTAGTCTCCTTTTATATTTGTCTTATAATTGCACATAGCTAAATTTAAAGAATTTCAAGACTTGTCTTATAATTCATAATTAAAAAAAAAACCCAAAAAGTAGCTTCAGCTTCTGATCAATGAGCTAGCACCACAAGAGCTCCAAAAAGAAAAGAAAAACATTACTCTGACCTTGTCAAACTCAGATTGCTGCCATATGCTATAGAAAAAAATATAGGGAGTAGAGACAAATCATTGCTAAATACTATTACAAAGACACTCTATAAAAAACAGAAATGTACTGATATTTCTTATAATGAATTACTTGAACCTTAAAGGACATGTCAAAACTATGGGAATGAGGAGCACTTTGCAGATCTGGTCTATCTCGGCTGCCTGTTGGGATAAGACAGACGTGTATTATGTCTCTGCACACTTTAGTTTCCTATGGGAATGCAGGTGTGCAGGTAGGCAGGGAGTGGAACTGCACTTCTATAATGCCCTTGATGTAGATCAGCTGGGAGATCAGGATGCAGCCCAAACTGCACCTCCTCCCAGTTTATGGCCAGCAGCAGGACTAAATTTGGAGTCCTTCAGTAATCTTTATTTTCTACATGACTATGTTATTTGTGTAAAAGCACACAACAAAACACATAAATAATGTTTAAAGATGTCTATAGCAACCTGTACTCAAATGGACTATAAAATAAAAATGAAAAAAAAAAGATTAAAGTAACAATGACAAAACAGGAAACACACTAGGTCTTTGAAGAATACGACTGTGGCTATTAGGAACCTTTGACATTCAGTTGAGACTGTGATCTTTGCAACACACTAAATGCAACGAGGCTCTCTAAGAGGAGGACACAGAAGAGCAACAAAGCTGGTGAAGGGTTTAGAGAATCCGTCCTATGGGGAGTGGCTGAAGGAACAAGGGTTGTGTAGCCTGGAGAAAAGGAAGCTCAGAGGAGACCTTATCATGTTCTACAACTACCTGAAAGAAGGTTGTAGTAAGGTGGGGGTCAGTCTCTTCTACCAAGTACACATGAAAGGACAAAAGGAAATGGCCTTCAAGTTGCTTCAGGAGAGGTTTAGATTGGATATTAGGAAAAATTCTTCACTGAAAGGGTTATTGAGCACTGGAACAGGCTGCCCAGGAAAGTTTTTGAGTCACCCTCCCTTGAGGTTTTTAAAAGATGGATAGATGTGGAACTTAGGCTTTAGGGTGGACTTGATAGTGTTAGGTTAGGTTGGACTTGATGATCTTAAGGGTCTTTTCCAACCTAAACGATTCTGTGTTTCTACAGAATAAGTTGACAAGTTTCTTAATAAGCCAGTGCTGAAAGAGACATGTATGGAAGCACAAAATAATAGCAACACATATAAAAAACTTTGTGACATGCCAAACCTAGAAAGATCTGCGATAGCTTCATGACAGTTATAAGCATTAATATTCTTGAAGATTAACAGAGTCTGTAGGTAGCACACAGTTTAAGTGCTGATATTTCAGCAGCACTGTTTTCACTGGACTTCTACTCTAAATAATGCCATGATAGAAGTGTTATCTCTTAGTTAGCTTGCCAAAGATAAGGGGCAAAACTTGAGTGATACTCTGAATGTCTTTTTTGCTTTTTATCTAGCCAATATCTAAATTCACCTTGTCTACAACTAGAAGGACAAATAAGCAGCTTGGTTTTGAACTCCCACCAACATTTTTTTTTTTTTTTTCAGATCAGCAGAGGTATTCATCCAGCACCTCTTTTCCAAAGACATCTCTTGGCTGCTAAACAAAGTCTGGAAATCTGAATCCATTCATGAACTCAGATTTCCCATGTGGCAACACACCATACCTCAAACTGCCCTTACCAGCTCTAGAAAGACATGTGCACTGTCCTTAAAATGGCACACATCACTGTAGCTTGGGTTACATATGTCAAAGCTTCTTTCTGCACTATCCAGTAACATGGGGAATGTCAGTACTACAAAGTGTATCAAGATACTAAATTAAGAACACTAGAAAGGATGAATTGAAGGAAATGAACTAAACTAAGAAATTCATCAGGGACTTGATGTCAAATGAATCAGTAACTGTGTATATGTAAGTATTCTATTGCAACTTTTCATCCCAACTGGGGAAACAAATATCCTTCAACACATTGAAATATGAGAAGTTGGCACAGGATGGAAATTCCTTTACAAAGTAGTTTATAAATAACTGTTTAGTCAACAAGTAATTTGGAAAGTCCATGTGTCTCCAAGTCCTTTTTTCTAGGAAAAAAAAAAAGTCATTGCAAAACACCTGTCTGAAAGTTATTTTTTTACCTACATTCGGTTCATTGTTTTTCTGTTTAAGACAATACTGGAGTGCCCAATACAATACACACACATACACATACACATACAATAAGGGAATCTGAAATTTATTGGTTTTATAAAGGACTATTGGCAAAATAGATATGGAAAATCAGAAATGCCTTATTAAGGTGCTAGCTTCCTTCTGAGTATTATTTGTAACAAATGGCTGATGAGCTTCAGTCATCATCTTACTGTTATGAAGACCTGAAATTTTGACTATGTCAAAATAATTTAAAAAAAATGGGCAAAAAAACATGTCAGCCTGTGCTTCTGTCAGTTCTACGTCATAAGCTAATCATGATATTAAGCCAATAAGTAGAAATAGTTTGCTGAATTGAATTTGAGAGTTAACTATTCTGTATGGATTAGTCAATACAGGACCTGTATTGGATCTTGGATCTGAACTTGCAGCTTCTCCACTGTATACAAGTCCTTGCCCAAATTACTTTTATATTCAGCTTTTTTGTTTGCCTAGAGACTGATTAAAGATAATATATGTATGTTGGTTGGCAAGCAAGGAGAATCAGGGCTCTAAGATGTTTTATCACAAGTATATCATGTACTATCTCTACAGTAAAGAAAACATAACATTTACATGGACTGCTGTTGTCAGACATCAAAATGAAGGGACAATTTGTGAGACATTACCTGGACTGTTTAATTCTGGGTCACAGAGAGAATAGAAAATGTGCTCATAAGAATATTTCTCTATACAGAAAATAATAATGCCTTTTAATCAGAAAAATTCTGTTGGTATTTCAAGAATAATTTGAAAATAATCCTGTTTGTCAACAATCACAAGTTTATTGGTCCTATTCTATTGATCCAATGGAAAAATTTAGAGATGTTTTAACCTTTTCTCAAGAACAGTGGCACAGCTAGAACTTACAGAAGCTGTAAGGTTTAAAAAGAGCAGGATGATTCTCAAACAGAAGTAAATTGAGGGGGCAAAATGCTGCATAATATTCTGTCTAAATAGTATATTAATCTTACTACCCTAACTAGTAGGGTTCCTATTTATTTTCATGTTCACTTTTAATGTATCATAGGGTAGAGAGGATATCAGTGGCACTCACTTCCAGACTGTGCATGGTAACCTTGCTAGAGACTAAACTCAGTCTTGATAAACATCGATTTCCACCTTTGGCTTGAAACTGTACGCCTGATATATAGATCTCTCACTAAAATGACTGAAAATTCACTGAAGGCTTATATAATGAAAAAGACATTTTCATATAGAAAATGTGAAATATTTTTCCATTATCATTTGACAGCTGCCTGTCAATAAAATTGTGCTTGCTATATCTTGAATAGTTTGTGAGTGCATTGACGGGCAGACTTCTTAAAGAGCTCTAACTTTCTTCAAAGCTGTTAAAGCCTTAAAAACTGGTGAAAAAATGGATATGTATATATTGTCTTACTAAGAGAATTTTCTCCATGTTTCCTACACTTTCATTAATAGTATAATCACTTAAATAACAACTGCTGGGGGAAATTTACTTGTGTTGCAGAAGCGTTTAGGGAACTATACAGTCCTTTTCATAGAATCATAGAACAGTTAGGGTTGGAAAGGACCTTAAGATCATCTAGTTCCAACCCCCCGTGCCATAGGCAAGGACACCTCGCACTAAACCATGTCAACCAAGACTCCATCCAACCTGGCCTTGAACACTGCCAGGGATGGAGCATTCACAACTTCCATGGGCAAACGATTCCAGTGCCTCACCACCCTCACAGTAAAGAACATCTTCCTTATATCTAACCTAAACTGCCCCTGTTTAAGTTTGAACCCATTACCCCTTTTCCTATCAATACAGTCCCTAATGAAGAGTCCCTCCCCAGGATCCTTGTAGGCCCCATGTATCTGCCCTTTACTGTGGACTTCTTACAGTCTCACAAAAACACACAGAAATCATTCAAGTGTTACCCTGTGATGTAAACTAGACAGGACTTACGACACTGGCAGCATATCAGCCACACCATTCTGCGATGCAGTGTTCAAAAACCCCCAGTCAAAATTGTAACTCACCTTCTGCATCTTCTGGCCTTGTAAGATCAATGACACCAGCGCCCAGTTTTCCGTCTTCATTTGGTTTCCCTGTTATCTGTGGGCCTAAATTTTCAAATCTTGTTCTTTCCTGGAAAAGAACAGAAGCAGTCTTAATGCTTCATATAGGATAATTATTCTATGCCTGTGCATATGTGTATCCACTGATACATGCCTTATTTTTAAAATCTGAACAAATAATGAATGCATTTAATTAGAATTTCAACTCAGGGAAAATTTTTACAGATTCTGAATGTTTGCATTTATGAAAATCAGTTTTAAATGTGAAACATATACAGAAACTTTGAGATTATTTTGATCTGCATTGCCATAATGCATAAGCAATTGTACATGCAAATACAAAACACTCTTGGCAGCCAACAGTGCTGATCGACGCTGCTCACTTTGCCTTTCCACTTGCTTTCTAAGTTAAACTGGAAAAGACAATCAACATTTGGAGACATGAAAATTCAGAAGTCGAAAGAAGTTTGTATTAAAATATACTGCTAATTTACTGGAAAAAGCACTTTTCCCCTGATATGAGATTCAAGTTTGTATTCATACCTCTGAAAAAACACAAGTCTGAATTTTATACCAGAGATTTTCTAAGACAAGTGTTTGAAAGAAGGAATAATAGATGACAGAACTGATATTATTATTTTGTCTAGGAATTTAAATTGTACCTCAGTGAAAAGAGAACCTGAGGGGATTAAAAAAAAAAAAAAAAAAGAAAGAAAAAAAAAAGCGGGGAGAGGTGGACGAATGAACAGTCCTATTAAGAAAGAAAGCTTTTGAGAGCTGGAGACCTCAGTAAGAAACCTGGAACTAGAAGGTGAAAACTGAAAGGTATTTTATGTGTTAGCCCAGTCAACTATTGGACAAGGGAATATAAATGCCACTGTAATATTGTCTCACAATAGTAGTCTCTGTAGTACTGTGTATCAGTAGCAAAGTGTTCAATGGTTATCATTAATTTAGTGTTCTCATTTGAAGGAACATAGCATGCTTTCCCTCTTGCCTTGTTGTTACCTCTTCAGACTAAACTTGGCATTATGTTATACTTGTGAAAGAATGAAACCTTGTTGTTCATTACTATGAAACAATATTAAATGTCATGTCAGCTTGAATTTGCAGACATGAAATACCAGCTTTCAGCTCTATGAACAGTTTCTCCATGTTATACTTAATGCATTATGCAGAAGTAGAGTGCTGACTGCTGTTCAGTCTATTGTTCAATGACCTAGTTTTGTGCTGTGCATACTAGACATAAGAAGAAAACACTAGGAATTTCTTTCCTGCAAGATGGCTAGAAACTTGGAAATATTCTTAAGGAATAAAACCCCCCATACTTGATGGCTTTGACTCCACCTCTGTTCCACCTCCAAATACTACTTCTTTCCAGTGTGATTACTGCCCTATTATCATTATCTTTCAGTAATAAAACTCTACCAGGCCAACAACTGAGGAATTCTTTCGATTCCTCAACCTTTTGATTCCATCAGCCATGGATTTTTTTTAAATTATTCTCTGTTTAATTTGTAGAGGAAGACTAGAAAATCTGACACTGGATTTGCCACAACATGCAGCTGAGGCATTTCAGTTGCTAATTGCATTTCTAAAAATTCCTCAGACCTTTCCAGTTGTTGAACAAAATAACTCTGCATTTTATATTTGATTAAGTTCTTATTTTCTTCTATAAAATCTGCGATTGGTGACGGAGCTTACATATAGAAGGGACTCGTAAGAAAAGAGTTACAAAAGTAATATGACTGCAGAAAGGCACTGCAATACTAGAGACACAATATTTTACTGAAAGATGTTGTGCGATGTAACAATACACCTGAATCATCAGGATGGGATCTGTTATACTGCTAGACAGAATAAAAAGTAAGTTTGTCGAGAATTCTGCGTTCCATCACAAAGGGCTGATTTGCAGTAGAGATAAAAACAAAGAACAGTACTAAAAAAAAACAGCTTTTGGCACATATAGTGTCTCTTCCAAAATATTTGTGCTGAAAGCTTTAAGTATGTTAATACAGTACCTGCAGTATTCTTGGAAAAACAGCTTTTAAATGTGTTTCAGAAGAAGGAGAAATACCTTTCTACTACAAAAATCAACAGACCTTGCTACATATCAATCTGCAAATTTGGAATATATCTGTAGTCATTCATTCTCTTTGATTTTACCAAAACATATTCTGCTAAAAAAAAAAAAGGTGAAAGAAAAAAAAGAAAGTTTCTGGAAGAATATCAATATTTTGATATGGAAGAAGGGAAAATTACATTATAAGGTTCAAGAACAGTAAAATGATAGCACTTACACTATAAAAAATACCTGCTCTTGTCAAACAAAGATGATGTACTTAGCGTTATTTAGTAACCTCTTCCTTCTAATTCATAAAAAGCAGTAGTAACAAAGCTAGCTGTATTTAAGTCTTTGAATTGCCTTTTGAAGTCATTCCTTTGCTTGCTTTTTTACTGCAAATAATCTTCATAGTCATCTTAAAAAAAAAAAATATTTCCAATGGGTTTAGAGTAATTCAGAGAACTGTAAAAAATAAAAAATATTTCCCAATACTAATGATCTTTTTATCTAGTAGATGCCTTTACAATTCCATGAAATACAACAAATTTATATGAAATTTATTATTAGAGAGGAAACGTGTCCCACTAGGCTCCAGTCCTTTCTTTATGGGATTTGTCTTTGTGCCCATCTTGCATTCATCCTGAAGAGAATAGTTACTTGCACTAGAAATCCTTCATAGGTATACCTTTTTAATAATATGAGCAAGGACTGAGAGGAAAATTGACTCTGTACATAAAATTTCTATATGAACAAAAAAAGATCTACCTTCATTAAAAGTAAATGGCTATACATGTCTGCAATAACAACTGTATTCCCTACACGTGTATTATATTTGCACACATGTACATCGACTGTTGGATATATACTACCTCCCTAATCTACATTACCAGAAAATTTCAGTGAGTTTGTAATAAAGTGCAGGTATTTTCTTTTTTTTTTTTTATAGTGAAAGAGCATTTTAGACTTCTGTTTTGAAATGATTTTTTTTTTTTTTGTGCTGGCTACGGAGCTTATACTGTATATTCACATTAAGTTTTCCCATTTAAATGTCAGAAAAAAGGTTTAGGACATGACACTGACAACCCTTTCTCACGACTAGATCAACACAGTCAATTGGAGTTTGTGCTAGAAAACTGAAAGCTCTTTCCAGCATGATTCAGATCCTTTGTACTTTTCATATGTTGAACACACAGTAAAAGTAATCACTTCTTTAAAATGAGAAAAAGAAGAGCAAAAAGATTCTTCTTAGCAGCCAAATCTCAATTTTCCATTCTGTGATATGATTAGGCACTTATTTATGCATTGTCAGTCACAAACACGCAGAAAACGTAAAAGTTATTGAAAAAATTAAAGTCTGCTCAACCGTCTTGCAGGACTGTTGGTTCTCTAAGTGCTTTGAAATTATGATGTATGAGGTAGATGTTGCATATTAAATAAAGATATTTAAATTATAAAGCCCCCGTTAGTGAGAGCTGATGAATGTTAAACGTTATGAGCCACAAGGCTGTGGCATCCATCATATTCACATATTATCACAGTCAGTGATGGAGCAGACCCAGTGATGACAGATAGACTGCTAGATAGTTATCCCTTATTTTCCAGAGTCGCCAAGCAAGCCTTTCAACCCCTTTGGCATTATTTTTAGCTTTGCATTAAATTAGCAACTTTCCCGTCACGTTCTGGCAGAAAGTATCAATTCTTTCTTCACATGTGGAAGGTAAAAGAATGATTTAGTGAAGCAACGAGTAAAGGAAAAGGAAGCAGTAGCCTCTACTTCTGAAAAGGCTTCAAACTTTAAATGACTAGAAACAAATATAAAATTGTGATCTTGTGAAAGAACAGCAATGAAACAGTAAGCACACAATAATGGCTTTTCTCTACACTTAGATGAAAGCTGAATTTTTGATGTGCACAGTATATTTTCATAAAATTTTATATACTATGTTTTATACACTTATTGGCTATTCCATTATAATGTGTGTGCTAACAGTAAAATTGCTCTTAAATTTATGTGTGTTATTTATATGTTCCCACATAACAATGCTTTTTGTTGTAAAAAATATTCTGTTTATTAATGTAACTTTACAACCACTGCATCCAAGATCCGTGGTAAATTAATGACATTTTTATTATTTTATAGTGTCATTAAATTTTTACTGATCACTCCATCAAACAGAAGCAATAAAGGCCATAATGCAAACTGGGACACTTAGATCAGGGGAGCAGGAAGGCATTCCATATAGTCAGAAGTAAACGGCTTGCTATAAATGATATTTATACCATCTTTAAGGGTGTGAGAATACTTGGACAAGTTTGGCAAAACTGTTTCTGAAGTAATGTGGATTGTGTACTTAAATAACAGCTTACTTGCCAGCAAGACAATTCTTTTTCAAACCATATGCGAGAAGATGACTGATCGCATCCATCTCTTGAAAAATAATATACGAAATGTAATAATACACTGGGCACCCCTCCCTTCTGGATTACCAAGACTGATCCGACTATACCCATGCCTCAAATTATTTCAACATGCTTTCTTTTTCCACATCTGAAATGTATGCTTAGTCTGAAATGGAAAATGTCATGAATGCTGAACGTTGTGTGAAAGACTGAAAATATATATATTTTTTGCAAACAAATACTTTTTATTTAAGTAGACGTGTTTGGATAATGATGTAATACCCTTTATTTCAGTAGTCTAGCATGGAAGCAGTTACCAACATCAATTTAAAGAGGCAGTTTCTAGAAACTGAATTAATACGGGTCATTCACAGAAGCCACAGAACATATTACAGAAGGGATATTATTTCTTCTGAGGACAGTTCTTTAGTTAGAATGACTACAAATAATTACTGCATGTTGTCTGCACATATAAATGTATTTCAATTGAATTATTCAATACTAAATGTTCTAGTAGTTTATTTGCTAATCATAATCTATTCTCTTCATGTACCATGGACAGTAAACAACAGGAAAACAACTTAGTATATTCAAAACATAAAAAG